GTCTAAGTTCTTAATTTTTACTTGGTTATGAGGATATTAACATAATATAACTGATTAAATGGTATATGCATACATGCTATAAATTTTTGCAAATTTTGAAAATTCCAAAATTATTTCAGAATAAGAAAGCTAGAATAATTTTTAGATAATCCTTGACTGCATTGAGTTGCTCAGTTATTAAATTCTTTCATACATCAAACCTTTCAGTATCAATTGCATGTTCGGCAATGTTATGTGCATGGGGGATGGAGCCGTGAACAGGACAGACAAGGTTCCTATTGTCATGAAGCTTATAATCTGAAATGAGCAAGTGCAGAAAATGCAGGCAAAGATCTGAAAGCAAATTCTCAAAGTGAATGATCTAATTAATTTCTGATAGAGTTGAGTCTATTTAAATGTTAAATTAAGGTAAAATAAGGCAATTTTAAGAAGTATTGGTGAGAGTTTACTTCAGAAGGGATGGTCAGGAAATTCTCTGAGAGATCCAAGGGAACAGAGGATTCTAGTCTTTCTGCTGTTACTTGTAAGGGTCAGTAACTCAAATGCAGCAACTTTAAGTTGGGAACAAATTTGGCACATCTGAAGTGCAGAAAGGCCATTGACTTTTGTGTACCATAAGGAGACGAGTAGTTTACAAGACGTACTCACAGAGGTGGTCAAGGCTATAACAGGGTAAACCATAAAGGCTGTGCTTTCTATGGTGTGTGTTGCCAGACACAGTGAATGCAAATACTGAACACTCAGATACATTTGATTTTTCAGAGAAACATTTTTTGTACAGTTGTACCCCATGAAATGTTTGGAAAATTGGATATTCTGAGTTTCAGTGTCTTGAAATTGAAATTTAACTGGTGTCTTGTGTAGTCGAGGACCCGTAATGTGGAAAGTAATGGACAATCACTAGGAGGGTCCACCTCTGATTTATATCTTGCATGCTTTGCGATATAGGAAAAAAGATGGGGGAATGTTTGGGGATATGAAGAGTCACAAGCTCAGTTTCATTTTGGAAAATTTTTGATGAAAACTAACAATTTAAGAGGATGTCAAGTGATCATTTGGGTAAATATCAGACTTTGTTTTGCACAAAATAATATATTTTATGGCTACTTTAATCAAATGCTAACCCCTGAAAAGAAACCCAAGTCAGTTATAGTCCTTTATATACTGAGGGAGGCAAATTCGTCACACCAATTTCAGGTGATATTTTAAGAACTTAAATAATCTTGAGGAAATTGGATCATCATGTTACTTAGTGATTTTTATTTTTTTACTGGAAACTTATTCTTAGTTGTCACTTGATTGACTTGATATTGTGATAGCTGAGGCTACTTTTATTTTCTGTATGGGAAAGTTGAAAATGATAGAGTGATGCTTTGTAGTTCTAATAATGAAATTTTAATGGAAATGATTTACAGGGTTTTTTTGTAATTCTAATATTTGAATTCAGCAAATGGTGAATAAAAGTCACAAGATTGTATCTATTGTACAAACAAACAAACAAATACCCTACCGAATACACACATGGAAAAGCATTCAAAAACACATACTGAATGAACAGATGAATGTGTTTGGTCAGATCCTTAGTGCAAAAACATTCTGCTTTACTAAGAAGGATGTTTTGAGTTATTAGATATACTTCTCAGGAGAGATGAACTGGAAAATTTTAAGTCTTGTAACTTCATTCTTTCGATCTCCAGAGGAGAATTGGCTAAAATAGAGGGGGTGTCCTACATCTGCTACTCTCTGTCCCTTTCTAAGGTTATGAGAAGATGTAAAGATAATATTTGGACTCAGAAATATCAATAGTATAACAGAAATCTACTGATAGATTACATGTGTATTTGTGGATGATGCCACCTCACCACATGCATTCTCTTAAAGACACAAAGTGCATTTTAACTAATATGAACTAGTCTCACTTTTCTGGTGCCTCGCAATGGGAAAGATTATAACACAAGTTTGAAAAAAGACAGGAATAATTCACTGCAGGACTAGGCAAGAGTACTCAGTGTGACTGGTACAATGTGAGTCATGACTGAGCATACTGATTAAAACACAGACCTCTGTTTAGTACTTGGATAAATGCAGATATGTGATGTTACCCTATTGGCCATTTAGAATATAATTCTAATATTAATGTGAAAACTAACTAATTTGCATGAAGGTATACTTACTTTAGAAAAACAAGTGGAAAGTGGAGAAATTGGATTTCAAAGAATCACTTCTGTTTTGCAGTCCTCCAGCAGAAATTGAACAGTAAGTGTTTGGACTCATCAGCATAAGTAAAAAAGTACAATACATCTTGCTCACACTGGTTTTTTGGGGGAAATTTTAATTAGTTGGATTATTATCAACATCATGGTCATGAGAGATACACTATGGTGTCAATATTAAAATAAAATTGAATCCTTGAAGGAGATACACAGTTTGGATCAAAAATAAAATTCCACAACTCAGAAGGACTATTAGTCTGATGAAGAAAAAAATTAATGAAATTTGGGCCAAGAGCAAATGAGAGTAAGGTTAAAAAATGTCATCTCTGTTGATTAAAAGAATGGTTCCAGGAGGTTAAAATGAATGTGTAATTTTGGGCATGACTGCACAGACGTGAGTGGGTGCCTCCTTCATTCAAAACTTCAACTGCATAAGAGGAGACCAAACTGATAAACCAAGACTGCAAGCTCCCTGAATTTCTCTGAAGCTTTATCTTATGGTTGAGAAACAACAAACTAATTAGATTAGTCATAAAGTTTGACAACGTCATGAAGGTGTGGTGGGTCACACCCACACTGAGGACATATAAAAGGCCCTCTGCAGGGAGACATGTCCACCCTGAAGTCACACTTCTACTCTCCTTCTTTATCCAAGGACAACCTCGACCCAACACCAACAGCATGTGCGGCTACTACGGAAACTACTATGGGGGCCGTGGCTACGGCTGCTGTGGCTACGGAGGCCTGGGCTGCGGCTATGGGTCCTGCTATGGCTGTGGCTTCCGCAGACTGGGCTGTGGCTATGGCTGTGGCTATGGCTTTGGCTCCCGCTGTCTATGTGGCTGTGGCTATGGGTGTGGCTCTGGCTACGGCTCTGGCTTTGGCTACTACTATTGAGGACGCCATGGGAGACTCTCATCCTCTCCATCTGGACCTCAGGATTCCCCATTCTTAACCTCTCACGTTCTGTGCCTTTCCTTTGGGTGATGATTACCTTCATCATGGAAGTCTAGTATGATCTGTTGTTGACCTACCCTGGAACCTACAAATTCCCTGAATTTACCTCATGAAGTGGGAGACGGTGAAATTCACTTGTGACCTCAGAGTTCTGCTTTCTTCTGGGTGATGGTGTCAAGCAACTGCCTTGACTTTCATGCTATAGCTTGTTTCTCTGTTGACCTAATAAACTTGTGCAATCTAAACAGAAACACTGGTTTTACGTCAGTTATTTGATGTCCAACATCACTTACAAACAGTGTTTTGGCAGAATTTTGTTCCTTGTGGTTGTATAACTGAGGGCCTCAACGTTGACTGTTGGCGGGATGCCTCTGCAGGCTGTTTGCTGGAGGCCACCCTAAGCTCCAGGAGGCTACCTCTAGTTCCTTGCCATGTT